TGACATGGGGGTTCCCCCCAAGAGGTGGGGGGCCCCTCACAATGTGGGGGTCCCTCTTATGAGGTTCTCTCCACGTGTGGGTCCCCACCATGACATGGAGGTTCCCCTCACAAGGTGGGGGTCCCCATCATGACATGGGGGTTCCCCCCAAGAGGTGGGGGTCCCCCTCACAACAACGTGGGGGTCCGTCTCAGGAGGTTCCCTCCACGACATGGGGGTCCCCATCATGACATGGGGGTCCCCACCATGAGGTTCCCTCCACTGCGTGGGGATCCCCACCATGACAGAGTCACCCCCATGAGGCAGGGCTCCCCATCATGTTGGGGGGGTCCCTATCATGACACTGGGGTTCCCCCCAATGTTTGGGGGTCCTCACCACAACGTGGGGGTCCCCATCATGTCGTGGGGGTCCCCATCATGTCGTGGGGGTCCCCATTATGTCGTGGGGGTCCCCATTATGTCGTGGGGGTCCACATTATGTCATAGGGATCCCCATCACGTCACAGGGGTCCCCAGGACGATGTGGGAGTTCCCACCACGATGTGGGACTCCCCCACAACTTGCAGGTCCTCTCAATCAGGTGGGGGTCCCCACCCCCCCCCAAAACACCCCCCCCCCCCAAAAATGCCCCCCCTTTTCAACCTACCCGCTCTCCTGGCGCCCTGCACCGGGCTGGGCGCCGCCTTCTCCTCCTTGGGCACCAGCTTCTGCATGTCGGCCTGCCCGAACTCGCAGCCCGGCGGCAGGCTGCCATGGGAAAACGGGGGGTCAGGGGGCGCCCCCGAGCCCGGCCGCGCCCCCCAGCACCCTAGGGTGGTACCTGTTGGGGGTGCAGAGCGAGAGCAGCACGGTGCTCTCCCACACGAGCGAGCAGTAGAGCTGGCTGAGCTTGCCCAGCACGCTGAGCCCCAGCTGCGAGCCCCACTGGTTGACGGAGATGGCGCGGATCTCGCTCTGCGGGCAGCCGGCGCGCCGTGAGGGCCCCCCCAAAACCACGAGGGGACCCCGGGGGGCGCCCCCGACACCGCCGCCCCTACCTGCCCCACGCGGCACGTGTGCACGAACATCATGATGTAGGCGTGCGCGGCGGTGAGCGCGTGCAGCAGCGGCGTGGCCTGCGCCGAGAGCGTCGCGTCGGCCACGCTGCCCGCCGCCGCCAGCTCGCGCAGCAGCACCGAGCCGCCCGGCGCCTCGATGGGCCGGTGCAGCGGCTCCAGCGCCGACAGCACCGCGTCCAGCTGCAGCAGCCCCTCCTGCAGCACCTTGGGCTCGTGCGACAGCGTCTGCGGCGCGGGGCGGGCGGTTAAACGCGGGAAAAGCCCCTTTCTGCCCCTCTTTTGACCGTTTTGCCCCTCTTTTGACCCCTCTTTTGACCCCTTTTGTCCCCCTTTTGCTCCTCTTCTTGCCCCCCTTTTGCTCTTTTTGCCCCTCTTTTGACCCCCTTTCTGCCCCTCTTTTGCCCCCTTTTTGCCCCTCTTTTG